TGTTTCTTGAGTTGCCTTTTTCCAGAAGACAAAATCGTGACGGTAGGTCTTTGGGTCTCGAGAGCAGACAACACTCAGAGCGGGGAGGGCTGAACAACGGTCCAGGGTCACTTGCAAACCGCCTTAGACCGATAAGTTTAGATCTATTTTAGGGTGGTATTGAAACTTGATGAATGGTTCATGGTCTAAATATGTAATGACCAACATTATTAGGGTGGTTTACGGTCCTAAGTACTTACCCACCTATCTCAGATCAAAGAATGTAAATCATTTGGACAAAAATCATTTTTATTCTAGTATATAATTTATTTTTTAATATTTCTTCATATCCTATTATTATTCTTGTTAATTTATTTTGTTTTATCACAAATCAATAGACATATAAAATAGTTAATAATGAGCTAATTTCATAATCTTTGCATCAACATTATTGATTCTATTTGGGATTGATCTAGTTAGGGAAAGAGGTTTTGAATCAATCATCATAGAAAGTGACACTACCCTAGACGTGGAGGAGATATAAACAAGCTAGAGAGTCTTATTTGGATGGAGCATGCATGGTTGCTGACGTAATAGAAATAGCAACACATTTTTAAGGTATGCGACTTTATCCATTTTAACATAATAGCAAATTCAATAACTCATAACATTGCTAGAGTTGATTGTCGACTTGGTGATCAATTGGTTTTGTTAGTTTTTTTTATCCAATTCTATTTATAATTTTAATGTAAGTATTTTTTTATTAAAAAATTATTGATTCATTGCATCAATAGATCACATTAGAATAGTTTATCACTAAATAATATATTTTTATTTAATTTTAAATATATATCTAAAAATATTAATATAAAAAACTAAACCCAATTTACGAACAATTGAACACCTCTACTACTGGGAACTGGTCCCATCTCTTTATTAGAGGCAAATAATAAATAATAAAAATAATAATATAACAGTATATTTTCAAATGATGAGAAAAGTTAAGGTCAAAAGAGTTACGTGTTGGAAGGGAAAAGATTATTATTGAATTTTAGGCTGTAGGAACGACTTATGGTTATAAGATCTCATGTTTTGTTTATCTTTTTTTATGTCGTTTCTATAAACAATTAGATGCGAACAATGGGATCCCACATTGGCTTGTTTTCCCCCTTAAAGAAATGCATGCATGTATGATTGGCCCTACACCTAATTGATATCCGCCACTTTTTTTGATCAGGAAAAGAGTTACATTACATGCATATACATACAGTACACGCCTCTTCTCCAACCCCTAAAATATCCCAACAAATTAAAGAGAACACAAGTGCGTGGAAATCAAATATATAAAGAACAGAGAAATCCCGTTAGGTAACTGCAACTTTTAATCACTTTTCTTTTTTAATTAGTAAGGGAAAATAAAATTACTACTACTATTTTTTTTACTTCGTCAAGTTTTCATTCACCTCCTTGCTTTTGAGTTTAAAATTATATTCGCCTGTAGCTATCAATAATTTTTTATGAATAATTTATAAATTCAATATAAATGTTTTTGGAAATTTATAATTTGATTTCATTTTGAAATACAGAAACTTGCTCTCACTTAAAACTTTTTAAATATATTAAGAATTAATTTTGGGAACACGTGAAACCCTTATATTCTGGTTTGAAATAATTTAAAAAAGGAAAATAATATAAAAAAGTTATTTTGTACGTGTCAACGAAGTTTTCAAACTTTCCGAGATTATTGGTAAAAATATAAAGTATAAGGTTAACACGTATACAAATATCATTTAACTTTTTTAGATTTAAAAACTTCACCTACAATATACGTGTACGTATAAAATGATGGGTTTAAAAAAAAAACTCAGTACGAAAATTTATGTTGAAGTAGTTGAAGGGAGGGTGAGATGGACATGAATGCCACGTGGAGCTAGCAGCGGCGTCTGAAGAAGAAGGCAATGGAGCATTTGCGTCAATGGAAATCTCTGGAGATATGTATATCTGTATTAGCAAAAAACGAGAGATAGACTCTACATCTCTCACTGTTATTATTGTCTGTTCTTGTATCGTACTAAAAGAAAGCGATAGGTTTTTTTTTTTTTTTTTTTTTTATCTTTTGCCCTTTTTTTAAAGACTTAATTTTGGCATAGGAGAACAGAAAGTGGCTTGTTTTTATAGGGAAAAATCGCAACCTGTGATAAGGAAAAGTATTATATTTGTTTTAAATTTTAATTTTGATAAATAAAATTTTAAAATAATTTATAAATTAATTGAATTATAAAAAGTGACTTTGCTTCTCATTTGATCGAAACAGTTAGATGGTTGCCGATCTGCCTAGGCCGAGGCATGTCAACTGGATCCGCATCTTGGCGGTAATGACCTGCTTTCCCTTCCTCTTCTCTTTCTCTCTTTCTTTTTTCTTCTCTCTCAAACCTTCTCCATATCTCTTTATCTAATTTTCTAAAATTTGTTCAATTTTATTCAAAAATAATTTTGCTGGAGGTAAGTAAAAGGTAAGGATAAAAAAAATTTAATGTAAGGGATAAGCAATAAAAAAAAAAAAAAAAGGTTATGAAACTTAGTCAATAAATTAAAAGTTTTTTTCTTTCATATTTATAATTTTTTATCCTTTATACCAAGCAAAGTCAATAAAATTTTAAAAATTTTTGTGCAACTCTGATTTACTTAAATCATCCTTAAATTTGGGATTATATATAAAAAAGAGATATTCTAGCAACTTATGTTTGGTTTAATGATAAATATTAGAGGTGATTATCGCTTGGTTCAATATTTTAAAGGATTTTGATTAATGTGAAACATTTTTATTTTAAAAATAACGAATTGAATATTTTTTGTAATTAAATTGATTTGAATTGAATTTTAAGATTTGGATCGATTCTATTTTTTTAATTTATAATTTATTTTATATAAAATTTAAAATTAAAATAAAATTAATAAAAATAAAATTGAATTTCGTTTGGATAGTTTTGAGGTTTTATTCTATGAACCAAAAATCCTGATAGAAACATTCAACATCCAAATTGACTATAATAAAAAACAAATCCAAACTTATCACTATAATTTGAATCAATTTCAATTAATATATATTTTTGGCTTATTCCTTGTAAATACACTCGAAATTTTCCTTTTAAAAAAAAAAAAAGAGAAAAAGAGGACTTTAATAATTTCTTAAACAATCAGCTTCAATTTCCTTTTGTCATCATCATCCCCATCAATTGATTAGCAAGCCTAAAAACACAGTTGATTTGGTTTTGTTATGTCAATGATGAAAAGATGTATCAGCTTCAAATCAAATATCAATGAAATACTAATCAAATGAAAGACACTTTTCCAATTCCTTCTTTTTTTCTCTTTAAAAATAATTACTAAAAACTTTACAAATTTCCCGACCGCTCCCAAACCTGGAAGATTCCCTTAGTGAAAGGAGACAAAAAGAATGAGGAAAAAAATGGGCATTTAACTTGCTTTGTTTTCAAGCTTAAAGATGTTTCAAATCTTGTTTTAAATTCTTAATAAGCCATGTAAATTTTTTTATGACAGCCCACCAGCCATGTTAGCCAATAGTAATGAAAGTATGGATGGAAATTCAAAGCATAGGTTTGACTAATAATCCCTCTCTCACCCTCGTATTTGCTTTGCTCTCCCTATTATTTTCACACGCTGTAAAACTTTAGTTATACGAACCGACAACCCTTTTATCAATGCTCCTTTCATCTTTTCCTTTTTATTGACAATCACAATTCCATTGCTTCCCTTTCTTGTTCTCTTTTTTCCTTTGCTAAGCCCTCCAATTCTTCCTCAAAAAAAAAAAAAAAAAAATCTTTTCATGCTTTGAATCTCTTACCATCTTACGTAACGATTTTAAAGGGTGGAGTTGTTACTCTCATTTAATTAAATAGAGATTAGGTGATTATATTATAAAAAATTGATTTAAATTTAAAATTTAATTTAATTGATTCATATAATTATTTTTAAAAAATAAAATCTAACAAATTTAAAATTCAAATTCTAATACTTCTAATTTTTTTTTATTCTCAAATTACAATTTTTTTTATATATAAAAAAAACCAACCAAGGAAATTTTGATATTTGTTGTACAAATTGTAGTTTTTAAAAGTAAAAATGTAAATTGATATTGCAATTATGACGAAATAATTAACTTTTAACATATATGAAATTAGTATACCATGAGATGAATTTTCAGCAAACCAAATAAGATATTGTTTCATCAACCCAAAAAATTCAATGTTGAAAATTAAGTATTCAAGTTTTAAAATCATTATTTGATTAACATATAATTAAGAATATGCATAACAAAAAATTAGACTAAACTAGAGAAACTTAATTTAGAGATTTCTAGATTTTTTTAAGAAATGCTTTTTACTATTAAGATAAGTCCTTAGTTTTGATACTTAAAGCTTTGAAGTATTGTTTTTCATGATCAAGTAACATATTTTCTTTGTCACAAAATATTTATCATATATTGATTTTTATGTAGTTTAAGAAAAAAATTTTGATGTTATTGTATTTAATATTAAAATTTAAAATTTTTTTATAAAATAAAGTTTCATAATTTTTAATATTAAAAGTAAAAAAATTTTAAAAATTTAAAATATAAAAAATAAAAATTTTAGATGTTAAAAAAATAAAATATAATTTTGAGACATCCCATAAAAAAGGACCAAAATAAGGGATAGAGAGTATATTTTGTAGAATATATCACTTATTATTATATCATTATTATTATTTTATTTTATTTAAAATAAAATAAAAATTTTTAAAATCTTACATAAAATTCACGCGTATAAATAATAAAATTTTAAATAAATTTATAGTAAAAAATATACTTAAAATAATACTAATTTTTTATATATTAGTTGATTTGGGGAAAAAAAGGGACAGATGGCGTTTTTAAACTGAAACAGTCTTAAAGTAGTTTTACTTTCAGAACTGTCCAATGCTTGCCACTCGTTTACACCATTGTCAGTTTAAAAAATAACAAGAGCTAAAAAAAAAAAAACAGAAAAAAGAAAAAAAAACATAATCAAAGCATTTCCAAAGCACGTTGCCACTTCAAGTCCTCATTCTTCAACATATCTCTCTCTCGTTAAACTATTTAATTTTAATTAGTTGTTATTAATAAAGCAAAATCCAAAAACTCCCCCACCAACTAAAGAGCAAACAAAAAGGCTCTCTCCCTCTCTCTCTTCCCCCGAAATAAAAACCGAACTTTTTTTTTCTCTCTCAAAAAGCTTCACACGCAAAAGAATCCATACCAAGTGTCCTTGTTTTCCATGTTTCCTTATCACTACAAGTTTTTATTTTTTAAGTATTATACTTGTTATTCGCTTCTGGATTTTGGGTTTTGGAGGTTTTCCTTCTTGCGGTTGTCTCCATTCATGGTTGTTCAACTGCTGTCTACATACATACAACTCTGTCACTAGGAAAAAAGAAGAAAGTTTTAGTCTTAATGTTACTGCTATTATTATTTTAATAGAGTATTTTTGACTTCTCTGTCTGTGTATATACTTGGGGAGGCTCTTTTAGCAAATGGGCATTCGTTGAATCTCTTCACTCATGGATCTAGAGACTGGTGTTTACAAAAACTATGTTAAGGTAAGATGGCTTTGTTCAGCAAATTTGTCTTAATTCCGCTTTTTTTTTTTTTTTTTTCAGAAAACCCATTTCTGTTTTTATGATAAAGGTTTAAGATTTGTTTAATGATCAAAAACAAAAATCATTCATGGATTTAAAAGTGACATTGATTTCAGGATTCTCATTTGATTGTTGGTTTTTCGTATTGTTGTAGAAGGAATCATGGAGAACAGTATTGACTTTGGCATACCAAAGCCTTGGAGTTGTCTATGGGGATTTAAGCACTTCTCCTTTATATGTTTTCAAAAGCATATTTGAGGAAGATATTCAACACTCCGAGACAAATGAAGAAATCTATGGGGTTTTGTCTTTTGTTTTCTGGACTCTCACTTTGGTTCCTTTGCTCAAATATGTGTTTATAGTGCTTAGAGCTGATGATAATGGTGAAGGAGGGACTTTTGCCTTGTATTCATTGCTGTGTCGACACGCCCGAGTCAACTCATTGCCCAATTGCCAATTAGCAGATGAAGAGCTGATTGAGTACAAGAAGGATAGTATTGGTTTGGCACCAAAATCAAGTTTTGGGTCAAGGTTGAAATCCACTTTAGAGAAGCATAGGGTGCTGCAAAGGTTCTTGCTTGTTCTTGCTTTGATTGGGACCTGTATGGTGATTGGTGACGGCATCCTCACGCCAGCTATTTCAGGTGATTACGGGTTCTTTTCCCTGATTTCTTGTGTTAATTATGCCATGACCTGGATTAATTGATTGATTGATTGTTTGGGTTGTGCGTGCAGTTTTCTCGGCGGTGTCAGGGTTGGAGCTTTCGATGTCAAAAGAGCATCACAAATGTATGATCCTTTCCCCTTACACTTAGTTTGGCTGCACTTAACTGTAGCTTCTAAGTATCTTCTCGGTGAGAACCAGAGAAGACAAATCATGGTTGAAAGTAAAATTTTCGCTCTGGAAGTTTACCTCTAGGCTACGTTTGCCGGTACTTTTTCTAGATAAATAATCTATGATTTTAAACCCTGTTAATGGAGTTGCCCGATTTCTGCACAAAGTGAGATTGTAGGTCCTTTTGATTGCTTCAGTAATTCTTAAATTTTAGGATGGTTGTCTGGGCTTTTCCAAGTTTCGATTATTTGTCTCTTGGCCTTGGGTTCTTCAACAACCTAACGATACGACACATTATTTATATGAATTCAATTATCTTTAGTTCCCTATCTGGGTCCCTCATACCCCAGAACAAGTACTGTGTTGCGGAACCCACGGTTATACCTTTCGCCTCAAGTTGGTCAGACTTATCAATCAACTTGCTAAACTGGAGTATGTACGGTTGCATAGTCTGCACAAACAAGTAGATTGAATTTCGTTAGTGATATTTCTGCTTGCCTACGCTGCTTTCAGTTGAAACTTTCAGTTTAGATCAAACTACTGGTCCACCTTGGGGTGTCGGATGTCTAAGCATGTTTTAACTGTCAATATTCAGTTGTTAGGAGTGCAAACTTAGGCATCCAGTTTCTTAACATGCTAGTACTTCATAAGTTACAGTTCCAAAAAGATTGAACTAGTTAATAATTCAAGTTTTCGAATAAGCCAACTCATCCGAAGCTTGTACAATTTGAACGTATTTGCTCATGGGACCCTGGTTTCAGGTCGACACTAAACATGGACTTATTATCTTTGCAGTGTGTTTTAGTTCCGGCAACTAATGCTTAGTTGTAGACTTTCTTTTTGGCCAACGTATCTTAGTTGCACTTCAGATAAGCTATTACTTACACCAATGAACACTAGCATGACTAATGCTGCTGCTACAGCTTTGGTCTCATGTGTTAAGTGGGGTAATGTTATATTCAGAGTAAGATGTTATATTTGAAGTTGTCGGTTTTGATGCTTCTATTAGTGAAAGGGTGACTTGCACTTTTCAGTCTTGAATGTTAAAAATAGAGACCATATTGAAATGTTTCTGGAAGTTGGTCTGAAGAAAAGTTTTGACCATGATTACTAACTGTATTTTTACTTTTAGTATTTGGCTTCCATGTGGTTCATTCTTTATTTGATCCATGAGGCTTTATACCATCTTTTTATATCTCATCCATCTAGCATAATACTGCCTCTTGTTAAGGTTCAACAATTTTTGCAGATGTAGAGGTTCCGGTCACCTGCATCATACTGATAGGTTTGTTTGCCCTTCAACATTATGGCACACACAGGGTTGGATTTTTGTTTGCACCTGTGGTTCTAATATGGCTTCTATGCATCAGTGCCATTGGGTTATATAATGTTATTCACTGGAATCCTCATGTGTATCATGCACTCTCTCCATATTACATGTACAAATTTTTTAGGAAAACACAGAGAGGAGTTTGGATGTCCCTAGGTGGTATTTTATTGTGTATAACAGGTAAGTGTGTGTGTGTGTGACTTTGAGTCTTTCAGATGATATAATTGTTTCTTGGCTGCCATTTTGGGGTAAAGAGGTTGATTGTTAAGTTGATTTACATTTTCATTTTGCAGGCTCAGAAGCTATGTTTGCTGATCTTGGGCATTTTTCACAATTGTCAATAAAGGTATATATCCTTGAAAGCTTAATTAATTCATGGTTGAGGATTTCTTCGTTAGACTTTGGTTAGAGTTGTGTTGTTGAGAAGAGCTGACTGTTTTGTCTCTTGGATTTTGGAACAAATTTTTTGTTGCAAGTTGTTTGAATAGCTGAATTATGATGTGGTTGACAATGCTAACTTAATTCCTTTTTACATGCATTTTAGTTGTGTGCTTGCTGTTTCTTATGCAGCTTTGAATTATGCTGTGAATAATAGATTTTATCTAATGGGAATTCCCATTTCTGCAGATTGCTTTCACCTCTTTGGTTTATCCATCCTTGATTCTTGCATACATGGGGCAAGCTGCCTATCTATCTCAGCATCATATTATCAAAAGTGATTACAGAATTGGATTTTATGTATCTGTACCAGGTAGGTACTTTGAGTTGTTCTCCTTGGAGACTAAGGTTTGGATGATAGGTGAATTTTCAGCTAACTGGAAGTATCCAAATGTTTTGCTTCAGAGGAGTTAAGATGGCCGGTTCTGGTTATAGCCATACTTGCTGCAGTAGTTGGAAGCCAAGCTATCATAACTGGAACGTTCTCAATCATCAAACAGTGTACTTCTCTTGGCTGCTTCCCAAGAGTCAAAATAGTCCACACGTCATCCAAAATCCATGGTCAGATCTACATTCCAGAGATTAACTGGCTCCTGATGGTATTATGCTTGGCAGTTACTGTTGGCTTTAGAGACACAAGGCGCATGGGTAATGCATCAGGTATGACAATGCTCCCTCCTGTTGTTCTTATAACTCTTAACATATATGTGTTCAATTGGTTGTATAACTTGGGGCTTCGGAGCATCTCGCAACTTAGCTTCATATTCTAGCTTGAACCATATCTTTATATGTGGAAACTGGCAACATATGGTCTTGTTTGGGACCCGCCCAGAATTGGGCTTAATGGGAGATTGCTCCTTCTGAAATGCTATATTATTTTATATTATGACTATCAAGTAGCATATTGCATTTTGTAGGTACCAGTTATTCCTATGTAATGGTTTGGTTCAAGTGAAAGATTTGATCACCATGAGGAATCGGGGGTTCTGATTTATAAGCTTCATTTTCCAATCGATTAATTATATTCTTGTGTACATGAATTTTTTTTTTGGCTTGTGAATAGTCTCCTTCAAGAAACTTCTCACACTAATTACTAAGTGTTTGAGGCATATAAGACATAAAGAGTAGAGAGTTAATTGCTTTTGTCTTAGCATTTATTATTTTATTTCGAGAAACCATGTTACATACTATCTGTCTTACTGTGAAAAGATATGCTGAATCTAAATATGAAACAGACTTGGATCCTCTTTTTGTCTCTGAGTTTCGACTAGTAGTTTTGACTCTCTTTTTTTCTTGTGGAACAGGCTTGGCTGTTATAACTGTAATGCTGGTCACCACTTGCCTGATGTCTTTGGTAATTGTGTTGTGCTGGCAAAAGAGTGTGTTCCTCGCAATAGGCTTTGTTTTCTTTTTTGGTACAATTGAAGCACTGTACTTCACAGCTTCCCTCATCAAGTTTCTTGAAGGTGCCTGGGTTCCAATTGCCCTTGCATTTATCTTCCTGATAATCATGTGTGTTTGGCACTATGGCACACTGAAAAAATACGAGTTTGATGTTCAAAACAAGGTCTCTATCAACTGGTTACTTAGCTTGGGACCCAGTCTAGGCATAGTACGGGTTCGTGGGATTGGACTTATACACACAGAGCTTGTATCTGGAATCCCTGCAATCTTCTCCCACTTTGTCACTAATCTTCCAGCCTTCCACCAGGTCCTAGTCTTTCTTTGCATCAAATCTGTCCCAGTTCCTCATGTTAGACCTGAGGAGCGGTTTCTGGTGGGTCATATTGGCCCTAGGGAATTCAGGCTCTATAGGTGCATTGTACGATATGGGTATCGCGATGTTCATAAAGATGACATGGAGTTTGAGAAAGATCTTGTTTGCAGCATTGCAGAGTTTATACGCTCGGGAAGTGTTGCTCCTGGCAATGTTAATGAAGATCTGGTGAAGGATGACGATAAAATGACGGTTGTTGGAACATGTTCTAGCCATACAGAAGGGATTCAAATGAGTGAGGATGAATATGATGCAGACAACAAAGAGGCAGCTGGACCATCAGAGTTGAAGGAGATAAGGTCACCTGTAGTTAAACCAAGAAAAAGAGTACGGTTTATTGTACCGGAGAGCCAACAGATAAACTCTGGAGCAAGGGAAGAGTTACGGGAACTTTTGGAAGCAAGGGAAGCTGGGACATCTTACATACTAGGGCACTCATATGTTAAAGCCAAGCAAGGATCTAGCCTGATAAAAAAACTTGTAATTAACATCGGGTATGAATTCTTGAGAAGAAACAGCAGACCGCCTACCTATGCACTAAGCGTACCCCATGCGTCTACTTTGGAGGTGGGGATGATATACCATGTTTAATCTTTTCTTTTTTATCTTTTTTTTTTTTATGGAATGCCTTTTGGTGATATAGAAATAGTATAAATGTATCATGTACATGTTTACAATGGTGTGCGATAGATGGAAAGCCACCATGGTTAGCGGTGAATGAAAGAACTACCTATCAATTTTGGTTAATTCTCTTTCATTGTTGGCCCACTCTTTTAACATGTTTTTCCTTTTGTTTCTGAAATATAAAACAATTCATTGGATGATTATGATATTTTTTAGGATCGGAAAAAAATTCGTGATCCATTGCAAGGGACATGATTGCAACATTATTTATCGATGCGAGTCATTGAATGTGATCTCAAGCATACTTTTTGTGAAGCTTACTTGTATGCGGATTCTCACTGGTTTTAAATATGAATCAACTTTATTTTGGTTTAGTTTAGTAGACTTAAAAATTTTAAATTTGATATGATGACATGATATTAAAACAACATGAAAAAATATTATATTTGAATTTAGGGTAATTGTGTTTAACACGATTAAGACACGATATTATTCATGTTGTGTTTGTATCATACAATGATAATATACTTAAGATATAATATTATTCATGTAATATATAACATATGAACTATAAAAATTATTTTAATTTATTTTTTAATAAATTAATAATCATATTTATTGTATCATTTCAGTGTTTAAATAAATTATAAATATTTAGTTTTTAAGTAATTTTTTATTTAAATACTAATTTTTGTTTAACCGATATTTTTTATTTAAATAAATCGATTAATCGTGTCTAATAATATTATTCATATTTAATTATGTTAATTGTATCGTATTGTATTGTATTACTTGAGTTGTGTTAAATAAATTAATTTTAAATATATTAATCATGTTATGTTATGTATAACACATATAATAAATATGTTATTTTATGTTTAAATTATTTATATCATTTAAATATTTATGTTATGTTCATATTAAAATTATTTATATCATATTTAAATCATATCTAATATAAATAAAATACAATAACATAAATTATCAACTCTATATATTAGTTTTGATGTATGTCCCCTTCCAGTGGCTCACTTGATTGATGCAGGATTATTGTCTCAGGGTTGCTAAGTTTTGGGCTTGTGATTTTAATTGGTTTTCTAAAAAAAAGAGACTGTACTATTCAAACCGAAATATTATCACCCGATAAGGTTCAAGTCTCGTAATTGAGTTTTTTTTTTTTTAATAGTAATAAGGAAACGTTAATTTTCTAATCTTCCAAAAGAAAGAGAGTTGATAAAGGGTAGACAAGGATGGTAAGGTGAATTTAGGGTTTAGTTGCAACGGTTCACTCACTTTTTTTTTTGTTCCAATGTTTTAATACAAATAAAAGAGAAGGACGAAATTTAATTTGAAATCAGATCTTTAATGTTAATTTAAATGTTTTTAATCACTAAATCAAAAGTTTGAAGGTGATTTACTCACTTTTATTAATAAATAAATTTTTATAAGATTGAAATTTGATCTCCAATTTTTATAAATTATTTTTAATTATTCTTTAAATTTTGATCCCTTTTGAAAAAAAATCAATTAGTATTAATTAAAAAGATTAATGAACTAATTAGATTTAATCTAAATTAATGATTATAAAAATTTAAAATCAAAAAATAATTTATATTGATGTAGGTAGATCATTTATATATATATATATATATTGTTATATTAATCAATAAAGTCTTGATTTAATGATCATGAAAAATTTTGAGTATTTAAATTTGTAGGTTTTGATCCAATCTTATATTAGATTTATTTTATTATATGTTAATTTATTGATTGATTTATATTTAATGTAATAATAAATATTTTTTTATTGTTATTGTAACTTTTATTGTATTTATAATTTTATAAAAAAATTATTGCTGTATCAAGTCCCAATCATACACTGATATATTTGAGAATAAAATATCATTTTCGTCCCAATCTTGCATGGCCCGGCCTCAATCCAAACATCCCTCCGTAACTTTTTATGGCATTGAAAAGAAGTTTAGCCTAAGTCAACGCGACAGAGATACGGCATAAGCTTCCCAATTTTTGATAAAAATAAAACAAAATAAAACAGAACGAGGGGATTAACACCTTATATAAATCAGACGCCTTTGACTTTTAGCCCTTGACTTTCTTGGGCAATTAGAGAAGTGAGGACTGCAATTTGATAGCTGAAAATTGTAAAAGAACCCTTAGGGATAAAAGGATAAGGGGCTACATGTAAGGCATTAATTGCTAGATTTTTTTTCATGTCTTTGTAATTTTTAGGTCAAGTTTTGCTATTATACTGTTTAATTTTCATCCAATTGTAAACGGTATTCAAAATTTTCTGTTTTAATGTTGATGATCTATCCGTTGACCACAACGGAGGACATTGACTCAATGATGTGGTTTTATTTTCATTGATTTTTGGGCTGTTTTTTTTAATGATTGGATTAAAAATTTCATGTCACCAATTACAAAGCACGTTTCTAATAGTCTTTTTTTTTTTTTTAATTTTTTTAATTTTATATTAAATACAAAATTAAAACATTTTATTCAAATAAAACACTTAAATTAACTCAAAATCTAAACCTTATATTTTATTAATGTCTTTATCTTTTTAGGATAAAAGCAAAAAAAAAAAAAAAAAATTACTGCCATGGCGGTCGAATCTAAACAAATCAGCTACCATTTTTGTTCTTTATAAAAAACTCTTTAGTTCTCAAGTTCTTCAAAGGTTTCTGAGCAAATAAAAGAGAATGGTGTTGCAGCCACCCAAACAATGCAATTTTCAACAAAGAAAAAGGAATTTTATCAATTTAGAATGAATAGAAAACATTTATATCTTTTTTCAATTTTGAATGAATAAAATCTAAAGCTAAATCATTCGCAAGAAACTTGCATAAACCTTTACTAGTCTTTATTTTTAACATAATTGATTTATATTGTAGACATCTTAATTTGTCTAAAAATTTATTTATTAATTAAAAAATAAAAAAATTTTGACAGGTTAAGTTTGTGTGAAACTGTGTATGTGGATTGAAGAGTTTAAGTTGGACTTAAAATTTGAAGTTGAAACTTAAAGGGGATTAAAACCTTTTCTAGTTTAGGATTCTTTGAATTTAAGCCCTATAAATACATACCCATTACACATAGAAAGATACACAGAGATCAAAGAAAAAAGCACGTAAGGGAAGCCAAAGAGTACGAAAATTTTTGAAAATTTTTTGGGTGGGTTAAAAAAAGATTTTTTCTGAAAATATTTTACAAATTTTTAGTTTTCGATTGAATTTTCGAGCGATATTTGAAGATTCTAATGACTTTTCGGTGAGATTCCAGTTTCTTGTGAGTTTCTTAATTTTCAATGTCAGTTTTCTAAAAATCGATAAACTTCCAGTGAATGTTCGATGAACCAACCTAGATTCTAACGAACAAAATCAGATTTCGACGAAGATTCAACTAGCGTTCATTAATTTTTAAAGAGAGAAGGAGAAAAAAGAGAATAGGAGAGAAAGAAGGGAAGGAAAATTTGAGGAAAAAAAATAAAGAATTTGATTTTTTATATTGCTGTTTAACGACGTTGTTTTGGGTGTTTAAGAAACCCGAGATCTGTGTGTTTTCTAGCCGATGATCTTACCATAGCGCTTGACCCGCTTTCGACCTGCATCCCTATCTTTGGCTCTAATCGAGTCAAGCCACGAGACATGCCATTTTAGTTGCTTCCCTTGCCTACAAGCGAGTCGAGCCGTTTTCTTATTTTAGTATTTTTTATTTATTTTTAAATATTTTTGCATGATTAAATTTTAAGAAAAATAAAAATATAAAACAAAATAAAATATTTTTTTGATAATAAATAATAATTATCTAATAATGAAATTTTTAAAATTTTTAAATAATAAATTTCTATAAAATTTCTAAATGAAATTTTTTTAAAAATTTATCCTAAATTGTGAAATAATTTAGATAAAATTTTTACAATAATAATTAATATTTATTTTCAATTTAAAAAAATAAAATTTTGGTTGAAAATATTTGACAATTATCCAAAGATGAGAATCTTTGAAATTTCAAATGGTAAATTTCTTAAGAAATCTCTAGGTGAATTTTTTTTTTAAAATTTATCCTAAATTGTGAAAAAATTTAAATGAAACTTAAAAAAAAAAATAATTGTCATGTTATTTTCTTTCCAAAGATTAAGAAACTAACAAAACTTTTTTTTCTAAATAGACTTAAATGGTGATAAATTTTGAAATAAAATAAAACAAAAAAATAAAAATAAATTTCAAAGATGAAATTCTTAATAATAGCAAATGATTGATTATTTAAGAAATTTTTAGATGAAAAAATATTTCTAATTTTGGTCCAAATGATAGATAAATTAGATATATTTTCAATAATAAAAAAATAAAAAAATGATTAAAATTTTTTTTTGACGACGGAGTCTCTTCAAAGAAAACAAATGAGATTCTTGAATACTCTTAAGGTGAGGAAGTATTTTTAAGAATTTTATCAGATTGATGAAAAATCTTAAAAGTTATTTTCAATATTCAACATAAAAATTTAAGACCGTTAGAATCAAGATTTTAGGATAATTTAAAATAAAATGGTACTGTCCTTTAGATGGACATGTTGGGATGTTATAACTTTTCTCATATATAACTAAACTCCCGAACCTTGTTCTAATTAGTAGACCAGAACCTATTTTTTTAAGGACCTTTAATCAAAGCTTAAAAGCTTCTTAAAATGATAGATTCATTAGGTGGCCAGTCACACCTAATTAAAAAAGATTGCTAGCAACTCCTTAAGTTGCGTCTAGTTATAGATTTATATGTTATGACAGTTTGACGATTCCACTAGGGACAAGCCATAGAAAGTCAAGCTATAAACTTTTAAATTTATCCTATTCTTTGAGCTAATGGTTTTAAATTGTAGTTATTGTGTTATCTGTTTGCTAACATTTCTTTTCTTTTTTGTCTTTTATTTTTGTGTTTGAAATCTATATTTTTTTTACACACACTATTACATGCATTTGCATTATATGAGCTTTATACTTGGGCTCCATCCCTCTTAGGGGGGAGTAAAGTACCTATGCTCTCATGAGATGATAATCTTTACAATGGCTAGCGAAATACTCTTACTCAAATTGAATCCTTTTTGTT